AATGAATGCCTGGCATCTGGCTCTGTGGGAAGGCTCAGCATGGAGAGGAGCTCTGGCTGCTGCAGGGCAGGCTTTGCTCATAGGTGCCTGAGCCCAGCATTCCTCTCTGCATCTGACAGGCTTCACCGGCTTCCTGGTGGCACAGGGCTCCCTCTTACAGAGTGAAAATTATGTGCTATTGTTTACCCAAAAGGCAAAACTCTTCTCCATTAGACTGTGCTTTGCTTCACTGACTCACCTGTTAAAGGATACAGATGTGGGGATATTAGGAATAAAATGAGTGCATTGGCATGCAAAGATTAAGGCATTTCATTTTAATAATGGGAATAATCTCCTTAGAAACTTGTAAAACTTCTGTGAGCATATTTGAAAATATTTCCAGTTTCCCCGATTCCTTCCTACCTTTCTCTTCGCTCTCTCCCTCCATTGCTTCCTTCTCACCCTCGCTTTCCCTTCTCTCCCCCTCTCCTTCCTTCCTTCCTTCCTTCCTTCCTTCCTTCCTTCCTTCCTTTCTCTCGCTCTCTTTCTTTTTTTAAAGTAGTAATTTAAAAAGGCCTCCCTCCCTCCCCCCCTTCTTTCTGGATCTCAGGTACACCACAGTGGCCTTGAACTTACGATCTAGCCAAGGATAGCCTTGAACCCCTGATCCTCCTATCTTTACCTCCCAAGTGCTAATATTACAGGCATACCACCACACTTAGTATTTGGCAGAACTTTGTTTTTTCTTTCTATACTAATATACTAAGATAAACCACATTGATTTCTTGGAGTGGTGGCAGATGCCTGTAATCCCAGCACTCCAGAGAGAGAGGCAGAGAAAAGTGGATTTTTGTGAGATCAAGGCCAGCCTGTTCTACACAGAAAGTTCTAGGCCACCTGGGGCTACAGGGATAACCTGTCTCAAAATGATTTTTAAAAATCTTGCTGGGGCTGGAGAGATGGCTCAGTGGTTAAGAGCACTGGTAGCTCTTACAGAGGGCCTGGTATGGTTACCAGCACCCACATGGTAGCTCACAACTGTCCCTAACTCCAGTTCCAGGGGACTTGACACACTCTTCTGGCCTCTGCAGACATTGCACACACAGGTGAACTTGCATACATGTAGACCAAACATTCATACACATAAAGTACAAATAAGTAAAAATTTTTTTTAGAAAACCCACATTGATTAAGCACACGTGCAGTCAACCTCATGCTTCAGGAAGAAGTGGGGTGAACCTGCCCTGGGAGGCTCAGTCTAGGCAGAAAGAATTAAATAGATGCAACACATCCAGAAACTGGACAGGGGTCATATCATGCAGGAGGCAGCTGTGAGGCTGGATAGAGACAGTTCTTGTGCCATTGCTCCACACCAAGTCCTCTTGATCTTACTTTAAGTAACATAACTAGTGCATAGTCAGCTAAACAGAACGCCATGAAAGTAAAACCTTCATTTATAAAGACCTCTGAGGTGAAAGGAGAAGGCTCTCTTGGTAAAATTCTTGCCACACAAGCACGAGGACCTGAATTTGAATCCTCAGCACCCATGTAAAAAGTCAGCATCTATAATCCCAGCACTGGGAAGGCAGAGGCAGGTGGATCCCTGAAGCTCCCTAGCCAACTAGCCTAGCTGGATTAGTAAGATGCAGGTCAGTGAGAATCCTTGTCTCAAAAATAAGGTGGAGAGAAACTGAGGAAGACATTTATCAACCTCTGGCCTTCACACACACATGCACACATGTGCTGCACACCCACAAGAAGGCATGCACACGCCTACATGAACACATGGACACATACATCACACACACAAGCTGAGGTGCTTTAATGAAAGGTTCTCTGTACAATCCTATGCTAATCAAAAGAGGCTGGAGAAGGTATGGTGGCTCATTGCTATAATTACATCACTCTGGAAGCTGAGGCAGGAGGACTGCCCCAAGCTCAAGGTCAACCTGGACTATGCAGTGAATTTGTCTCCTGAATGTTTTATTTTTTGTTTTGTTTGTTTTGAGATAAGGTCTCCTTGTAGCTCTAGCTGGCCTAGAACTTGCTATGTAGACCAGGCTGGCCTCGATCTCACAGAGTCTGCTTGCCTCTGTCTCCTGAGTGCTGGGATTAAAGGCATGCCCCACTACACTGGGCTCCTCTATGTTCTTTTAAGATAAAAAGCCCAAAAGAAAGGCAAAGGCAAGTATTTTATTTACAAACCACTTTAACTTCACATTTCCAGCTACTAAAATCTTGTGAAATTAGCTCATATTCCTAAGCAGTATGCCAGCATTGCACACAGTGGACATTAGAATCACTGATCCCTTCTGTCCACCTCAAGCCTCAGACCCACTTGCTAACTCAAAAAGGAACCCAAGCATTCCATATGCCCTAGTTACTAAGGCAGTGCTCCACTTGAATCTTGCAGAGGCTTTCAACTAAATAGTAAAAGAAGCAATGTTTCCTGGTTACCCATCATTTAATCGGAAAGTTCAATTCATAGGAGTATAATTTTCCCTGACGCTTTTGGTTGATACACTGAGGTGACAAAGGGGTGGGGCAGGGCTCTGGGAAAAGATTTGCTTCCATATAAGAGGCCTGGGCTTCCATTCCCAGCAACGGGGGGGGGGGGGGATAGGGAGGGAAAAGGAAGGATGAGAGGGAGAGGGAGAGAGAGAAAGAGAGAGAGAGAGAGAGAGAGAGAAACAAATAGGAAAGTAGTATATACTTCCATCCAATCTTTACAAAAATCTTTAATTTTCCATTGGGAATCTGGTCCCAATGGGAAAGGCTCTTCCTCTAAACTGTGTTTTAACTTCAAGAACACTTAGAGATCTAACATTTTTTTTTGTCTTGTAGGTGCAGACTTCTGCTGGGACAGGCCATTTCTGAGATGAGTGTGTGGGCCATGCACTGGGTAGTATATACTTCCATCCAATCTTTACAAAAATCTTTAATTTTCCATTGGGAATCTGGTCCCAATGGGAAAGGCTCTTCCTCTAAACTGTGTTTTAACTTCAAGAACACTTAGAGATCTAACATTTTTTTTTGTCTTGTAGGTGCAGACTTCTGCTGGGACAGGCCATTTCTGAGATGAGTGTGTGGGCCATGCACTGGGTGCTGGCTATCCGCATTGTGGGTTGTGTGAAACATCATTCAGGTCTCTTCTCACCATGATGGATCCTGGGCTGCTTACCTGCAGAAGCCCCCAAGGCCTGGGAGGTGCCCTTGGTTCTTGTTCTACCTGCCTTGGTTAAAACCTCAGTCTGTCTCTGCTCAGTCCTTGCTAGTACTCCATGGTGGGAAGAGAGGCCCTGGCAGTCCAAGATCTGTAAAGGACCAGGACTGGGCTACAAGTATGCGCATCCGAATTTGCTGAAACAGCCACGTGCCTCCCAGTCATTTCTGGGTGTACATGAATTTTTTCATTTCTTTCTTTAAAAAGTCTTCACAAAGTAGTTAAAGTTTTAGTTCTCTTCATTCTGCATCTATCCTTACAGTGTCTGTCAATTTCTGGTCTTTCTCTTTTCCAACAACTAGGATGGAAACTCATGTGCTCTAAAGGCCACAGAGAAGTCACACTCTCATTTCAAAGCTTCCTACACAGTGATTCATATTCATCTAGTGCTGATATTCCCACCCCTTTACCAACACAGCTAACCTTTGAATCCCACGAATCGGTGCTGTTTGCCAAGGGACATTTCAGATGCCAGGCAAACGAGTGCTGTGCCTATAGCTTGTGCTCCAGGGCTCAACAGTGCTTCAGGGATGTCTGTAGCACAAAATCCTCTGGACCACTGTGGCTCCCAGGCTCACTCAGACTAGCTGAAAAGGTGACAGGGCTGATGCAGGGGAAAAGGTGACAGAGCCACTTCTCTGCCATGGTGCCCAGTAAGAGAACAGATCAGAGGGAAGAAGGGAAGCCCATGAAGGCCACATCATTGCAGCAGAAATCCTAACATGAAATCGCTACACATCCTTCTCTGTCCCATTCTCCCTGCTCAGTATTCTCACTCTGGTGTTCAGACCATGAGATTTGACTCAGAGTGGAGTGGCAGGATGCCACCTCCTCAGCTAGCCCCGTGTGCTAAGTGTCTCATTTCCACCATTCCAGGGCACTGTAGCCTGCCTGCCTTCACCCAGGAGCCCACAGCCTGTCGGCCCCTACCACTGGAGTCCACAGCCCACCGTAAACCCCTCGGGGCTCCACAGCCTGCCTGTTTCCTAAGCCAGGGCTTAGTAGCCCCCCCACCTGCTTTTAGGGCTCCACACAGCAAACTGTTCACAGCCCACTCAGCATCCATATCTACCACTGGCCTTGGCCAGTTCTCCACAAAGAAATGTCAGGTCCACACAATTTCTTGTCTACTTAAAGAGCAGATCTGAAATGTTCTTTCAGGGAGAGGGTAAAAATAGACCCTAAACCTCCACACATAACAATGTCAGTGTGCTGTGTTGCTCAGGTTAATTTCATCAGAAAGAAACACAGGGGAAGAAGTGGCATTTTTTTCCCCAAACAATGTGTACATGTTTCACATTTTAAAATATTGTTCAGTGTATGAAATTTGTACTTTCATTCAACTTTATGTTACAACTAGTTTGTTGATGATACATATATGTAGAAATATGTAAAAGCATACATATTAATAATAAAACAACACCTCAATATGATGCTTTTGAAAGGAACAAGAAAGATTTTCTCAACACTATGGACAAGCTGTCACTTAATACAGTTTGCAAAACTCTTCTATTAGATTTTGGCTTCTAGAGTGTTTTAAAGTATTGACTATTTACTAAACAACCCTTGAATTATATAGAATTAAATACTTCATTTCATCTGTTACAATTTCAGGACACAAACTCCAAGCAAGAAGAGTGTCTGTCCTGGGATTGTTTAATCGACTTCCATCTTGGGGTCAACTTGTTCCCTTTCCATGTGGCCTTTTTGCCAACTGACCTTGTCTCCGTGTGTGCGTGTGTGTGTGTGTGTGTGTGTGTGTGTGTGTGTGTTTGGGTGCAGGATGCTCAGGCCCTACCTTCATCTCGATCTGTTTGGTGTCCAGATTCTGAAACAGCAGTTTTACTCTAGTTTTTCCATCATCTGAAGATCCCTTAAGCTGAGAGAACTTGAATCTCCAGAGCACATTCTGCAGAGGAATGAAATGAATGGGTGATTCATAAACAAGACCACACTTATCTAATTAACATCTGTCAATGAGTTAAAGTACCTATCTGGGTAAACACTGTTTGTTATGATCTGTCTACTTTCAGTGTGTGGATGTTGTGAGAGCCTCTTCCCTTTGTAAACTGATCCTCACGTCCAGCCAACTCAGGATCATACTAGACACCAGTCTGTCTGGTCCTCACCCTGCCTTCACCCTTTTGGGTTTCCTGTGCTAGGAGAACTTTAAACTCTGGTGAAGGCAGGTCTTTTTGTCCTGAGGATACTCTATGCAGACAGCATAGAAAGCCTGGATCCTGGTCGACATCACTCTGCCATGGCTACAAGCTGTCACTCAGCCTCAGGTTCTTGAGAACAGGAAACGTGGGCAGTGCTGCCTTTCAATACTGCTGCGAGGTTAATTAGCATTTGCTGAAGTTTGTTAGAGATGAAAGATTTGCTATATTATCCTACCCTAATCAAAAGGCTGCAGCAGGCCTGGTGGCTCACATCTGCAATTTCAGTATTCAGGAGCCTGAGGCAGAAAGGTGACCACAAGACTGAGACTAGCCTGGTTTACATAGTTGAGCTTCAGATCAGCTAGGGCTATACAGGGAGACCCTGTCTCACAAAACAAGCAAGCATAAAACAAACAGAAATGGCCTGAAGTAAATGATAGATCATGGTGTCTTATACAATGTCTTTAATGATAGATATTGCACTATAATGTCTTTATTTTCCTAGAAATATATCAATGGGAAATAATGTTTGGGCAAGCTATAGGCCAAATTTTTATTGAAAACTCTTCTTTCTAAATGATGAACATATTCCTCTCAAAGTGTCAGCAGGACAATGCAGAGAGGACATGGGAAATCCCAAAACTCTTCTCTCCCATCAGATGCTGAGCTGCTCACTCACTATGTACATTGGCCTCAGGATTTCTGGTCACATGCTACATACTGAATTAGGACATGGATTGTGTCTACATTTCAGAATGGAAAAGTCTCAAAGCCTACGCTTCTACATTCCAAGAGATTTGGGACTCCATGGGTCTTACAGAGCAATCACTTCATCCTAGCAGTTTAGAGTAGAAGCTAAGCCTCTTGCTGCTCAGGAAGATCCAGGCATCAGAGTGGTTTCAGAATGGGAATTACTAGATTCTGTTCAGAATGAGAACACTAGAAACCTCACAATTTCATCACACAGCCCTTGTTTGGGGTGATATAAGACAACAATGTTCCTCTGCCTCTCCTTGTTTGGGATGTGCTACGAAGCATCCACAGTGGATGGAGCAGCCTGCACGCCCATTACCTTTCTTCCTCTCTGAGTTGCATGCCCCAAACATTCATGCCATTCATGGTGGACCCTCTCATGGCCAGTCATCTTCAATGACTAACAGTCACCTGTTTCAAGTCTCTCAAGCTTTCTCTCACATAACTTTTATTTAAAGGAGAACTAGCTATTTTTGGAAAACTGTGGATGTTATTTCTGCCTGTGTTCTAGGGAAGCAGTTGAATTTCCAGACTTTGAGCCCTTCCTAAAATGCGGTTGAGCCTCCATAAGTCTAGGTATGCAAGCTGGGCATTGAGTGGTCCAGAGTGGCTGCTTTGAGAGCTTGGCAGCAACAATGTTCCCTTTGGTTAAAACATCAGGAGGTGGATTTCTGGTGTTGGATCTCCCACCAGACTAATAAAGGCTGCAGGGCACCTTAACTCTACCTCTCAGTCATGGAGTCAAGTATTTTTGTGTGGTTTCAGCAATGAAGCTCAGGTCTTCAGTTACATGGTGTATATATGAAACACTACATCTTGCTTTGATTTTCATCACGGATTTTGTGATAGTCACTGTTCATTTCCTCCAGAACAACCTTGGGTTTTTAAGATACTAAGAGTGGAAAGTGACACTGAGCCCCTCTTCAGAATGCCAGTGGGTTCTACAGGGATTCTGATATTGGAACGGCTGTGCTTTCTCTCACAGGGTGACCTCCACATCTTCTCTCTGGCAAGACAGTCACTTCCTTTTGTATTTTTGAAACTGGTATTTCTGTGCCCCATCCCCTCTATCCTGAACTCAATCCCATAGAGTTACGGAATTCCAGCCCAGGAATCAGGCTCCATGAGTACCAGCCCAGCACTGAGAAACCTGTAACTCTGCACTGAGCACCTGCGTGTATTTGGAGTCTGGCTGTTAGGAGCATGGATCATCCAGGAAGGGAGAAGAATAGAAGTTATCACCTAGAGATAAGGCCAGGCTTTCCAACTGCCCACAAATAGCTGCTGATATGGAGGACTTCCCCTTGGTTCTGGGTCTCTAGCAGCTCTTTACACCACATTGTATGTCTGGGACTTGGAGGGTAAAGAACAGCAGTCAGATTGTGCTTTGCCTCTGCACTTCCAGCTCCTCTCCTGTTTTTGTGTGACCATGACAGGACCAGAAGATCAGTTAGCACCAAGCCATAGAGCAACAGAAAGCTGTGGTGGCCAGTGTCCTAATTCCACCTGGCTGGGAGACAGGGAGTCTCCAGGACTGGGTCCACATAGCCAGAGTGATGTTCTAGTTTGTTCTCACTTAAATAATTTAGATGTATTTTCCATGTGTTAGACAGTGGTCTTCTTACTTAGTACGTCAGTGCAGACACATTTCCATAGCCAAGCATGTTTCCTTCCCTGCCTGATTCCTCTTTATGATGGTGATAATAGACAGTTTATGGGAATGAACTGATGCTTGGGGATGACTGTTTATTTCTATCTGGTAGGAACAAAAGTGGGGATTACACATTTGGACCATTAATGACTAAGGGATGACTATATGGACATCCACTCAGATTTGAGCAGTTATCAGAATCCAAGTGAAGTGTGCATGTGTGTGTGTGTGTGTGTGTGTGTGTGTGTGTGTGTGTTTAGGGGATGGAACCTAAGGCCTTGTGTATACTAGCATGCGCTCCCACTGAGTCATGGGGTCAGCCCATCCTCAAATTATACTTTCATATACCTTTGTTAAGGGTCCTGCTATCAAGTCATGGATCTAGCTGTGGCTCAGAAATGCTACAGAAATTGTCTGGTTTACCAGTGTGAGGGCCCAGAAGAATTCTCTCTCTCCCTCCCTCCCTCACTCCCTCCTTCCCTGCAGGTACATGTGTCTATCTATGCTGGTATGTGTGTGCATGTGTGCACTTGTGTGTATGGAGGCCAGTAGTCAACCTCAGCTGTTCTTCCTCAGGTGCTATCAACCTTGTCTTCTGAGACAGGCCTGTCATTGGCTTGGACCTCATCAAGTAGGTAAGGCTAGCCAGTCAACAAACCCCTGGGATCGACCTGTTTCCACCTCCACAGTGCTGGCTTTTAAAAAATGTAACCTCTGGGGTGCGTGTCTCTGGATTAAACTCCTATATTAAACCTCTGCCACCCAGGGCTCAGGGAGCATTGTGAAAGAGGGGTGGAAAAACTGTAGAGGCCAGAAGTAGTGAATGAACACAAGGACACAGAATTTTTTTCAGGCAGCTTGGAACTTGTTCATATGAACTTACAGCAATGGTAACAGCCTGCACAAGACCCATGCAAAATCGAGTCAGACAAAATACCAGCGTAGAAGTGGAGAAATGAGGAAGAAGCCCCAACCTTAGCTGAGGAACTATTGGCAACTGATCCCTGCTGGGAAAGGGAGAGCTGGTCTTCTTTAAGGGAGTGATGCTAGATGGACTGACTAGGCTCCAGTGAATGAACTCACATTGAGAGACAACTGGGGTCACAAACTTGACTAAATAGGCCTTAACATATATGACAGAATGCATGAAGTTCAGTGGGGGGGCTATGAGAGGTGCAGACACGGAAAGGGTCTAAATATGATTAAGGTGTATTGCATGAAATGCACACATATTCAATTAAAATAGTAAAAAATACAAAATACATTTAGTTTTCATGGTTAAAACATTAAAATGTTCCAATGGTGGGGGGCAATGAAAATGCGAGGTTTGGGGATTGAACTCATGCTTACAAGGCAAGCACTTTCCTAACTGGGCTATCTCCTAAGCCCCAGTGAAGTTCTTCTAATCATCTGTGAATTTAAGCTCAACAAACCTAAATCTCAACATGTCTAATCCATGAATCTATTTGATCTTCCCATAGTGACTTGAATAGAAAGCAAAATTATTTATAAATATTTGATGTTCAGCAGTTACTTATCTTTATAATCATTTCATTTTGTATGATAATAATTTAGGCCTCCTTCCATGGAGCTTACAAACATCACTCTGAATTTAAATAATGGAGACTTGTCAATAAGGACAAGCAGGGAGAGTTCTGTGAACTCAGGACCCTGTTTGCTTTTCACAGCTGAATTGACTTTCTTCTCAGGATAGACTTTCTTGAAGGGGTGACCATGAGAAAGATGCACGGTGAGAAGCGAAAGCTCACCTTCAAAGAAAGCAAGGTCAGGAGGTTGTGGCCCAAGCTCAGGTTCAGACAAGCAAAAAGCATAACTAGATCTTCAGGAAAACTTGCCAGAAATTGGACAGAATGGTGAGAAGCAGAGAGGTTCACAGGGATTGCTGAAAGCTGTCCCCTAGAAGCAGAGACCTGGGAGAGCTGAGCTTAGGACGGGACCTGCTGGGGCCCAGGAGGCTCACCATGGGAAGCTGTAGGTCTACTCTGGCATCACTCAGGGGATTCTGGTTTGAAGGGCATCTCATGTTGTCTAGCTCAAACAGTCATGAAAGGCCTGACAAATTCTACTCAATGGTAAGAGTTCAGATTGATTGTATAGTCTATTACGAGGGAATCCAGCTCCAGAGGGCTCATAACATTAAGAAACGAATTATACAGTTTTAAAAATTTGTTAGCGGCTCCAGTGGATGAACTCACATCAAGGGACATCTGGGTACAGAAAAGTGACTCAACAGGCCTTGACATATATGACAGAATGCATGAAATCTTGTGGGTGGGCTATGAGAGGTACAGATGGGGCAGGGATCTAAATATGATTAAAATATATTGTATGCAATGCACAAAAATTCAATAAAATGTACATTGAGAAGAAATACTTTGTTAGATTAATTTTAGGGATAAGCAAGGGGAAGACGCTGTGTGCAATGGCAGGAAGTTCCCTTAGGGCCCCAATTCAGATCTGCTGTGGAAATCAGGGACCTGGCTGTAGGGAAAGGAAGGCAGGCAGCTTGAAGGGATTCACAGATGAAAGAAGGTGGCTGATGTGTTGCTTGGTTAAGAATGCGCTATCATTAATTACAGTTGTCCAAACCACTCACCTCCCCAGATGGCCTAGCTACCTGGAGGGAGAGCATGCCCACCCATGGCTTGGCCCCCATACAAGACCATGCAAAGGACCATGCAAAGATGGTGCTCAGCATGAGGTGCTTCTGCAGACCATGACAGAGCTTCCCATGGATCCTCACAGAAACCAGGAGGAACCACAGAGTCCCGGGACCCCTTCTTCCAGGTTACCAGGACCAGAGCTCACACCATGACTCTCCCTGACCATAATGCCCAGTCCTGGATGCTGGGTGGTGGATGGATGCAATGCCATCCTCAGGTAGGGCCACAAAAGTCTTCCTGCAGAATCCTGTGTAGACTGTGCTAATCTCTAGACTTCCAGGAAAACTGGCCAAATGTGAAACACTCCAGCAGAAGCACAGGCGAACCCTCAGTGGGACCTCTAGAGGAAGCAGAGCTGCTGCACTGCATCTTGCTCTTCCCAGGTGAGGGCCCTGCCTGTGGCCCATGCCCAGGCATTGCCCAGAGCAGAGGCCACACATATAAGGCCCCTCAGACTGTGTGGAGGTGGAGCATGCAAACCTACCCTTGAGGTAGAATCTGGAGGGTCTCAAATTTAGTGTGATTAAATGTAAGATTGTGAGTCAGAGAAGAAGAAGCAGAAGCCTCAGAGCCATAAGTGTGCAGCAGATGGAAGGGAGGGCTCCTCTTCCAGCACCACCTTCATTCCAGAAGGACAGGCACAACAAGAATGAACATTCAGGTGTGGCTTCCTGATAATAGTAGCAACAAGTCACAGGTCCTGCACTTAGCAAGTGCAGTGGTCAACAGACAGTGGGAAGGATCCTTAAGAGGGACAAAGATGTCGTCTGCTGACTGACCCCAGGGTTAGAAGAATGAATGGCCTTTGATGCTGGATGTAGACATGGATCCATTCTTTTTTTATGAAAATATATCTTATTATTATTATAATGACTGTATGAGTCCCTACTGGGAAATATCACAATAATTTCCCAGGGAGGAAGTGAAGTGACGATGTCCCTAGTGAGTTTTCGGATCACAGCATTCTGTAGTGGAAGCGGTCAGTTCTGGGCACTGTCAGCTGGGATCTGGTAATTTTCCATGGTGTGGCATCCCATGCATGGCAGGTGCTGAGCAGCACTGCTGGTTCCCAACATGGATGCCATGAATGCAACAGAAGCTCTGTCTGCTGCAGGTCCTGGCAATGAAAAACCTTCTCCATAGTCCCCTGGGGGCAGAGTTATCCTGGCTGAAAGCCTTGCTCTGACAAGAGTGGAAAGCAAGGGAAAACTTCTCCAGAAAGTTGCTGTCTGAAAGTGCTCATCGGCTGGCTGAAGAGATCAGGTCACAGAAGAGTGTGGCCCAAGGGGTCCAGATGTAGCAGTGTGGAAACGGCTATGAGAAACGTAATGTTGGTTTTCAGGAGCCTTTGACGAGGCTTTGCTTCTTCAATGTGAACCCCCCGGGAACAGCAGAAGGCACAAGCTGAGTGTCCAGAAAGCATGCAGAAAGCAGATTTCTGAAATTCTGTGCTTGCATAGTGATTGCAATAAAGATTGCGTGAAGCAGAATTCCTGAAAGACAGGTTTGGACTGAGCTCCAGCATGAAGTCCCAAAGACCAGATGGGAAAGGATTTACTCACGGTAAGCATCATGTCAGCAAACTGAAGCTTCACAGACTAGGAAAAGCCCCTAAAGAACAGATTTCCTTAACAACTACAGATCGGCAGCAGTCAGTCAGAAGGGGCACAGCTAGCCTGAGCTGACAATCAGGCCACCCTCTCTGCTCTGTCCTGCAAGGGAATTCACGGGAAGCAGCTCAGAGTGAGCCATGGACTCCATGGCGCAAAGCCCCTTGATCCTGCTCAAGTCGTGCACAGAAACCAGTCTTCTGCCCCATGAGTCTGTGAACAGGGTGCTCTCACACTGGGCCTTCCTAATGAAAGCCAGTGAGCTCTCCAAACCAAATCCACTGGCATCCTGCGCCCACGGCAGCTTCTGTAAGTGTACTTTCCAGTTCTACTCATTCTTAATGGGCATAGGGTAGATTTTTCAAATATATTAGGTGACAAAATATTAGCTTTTATCTTTGGCAAACATTTTCTTAACACTGTAATTAGGAGGGCCCCTGGGTCTGATGGGAATGATCTACTGTTTCCCCACACCTCACACTGGCATTTTTAATCAACAAGACTGGAATCAATAGCAGCTCTGCACTGATGCTTAAATTCTACCCCATGTCAAACTGAGTTACTGTCACCAAAACTACTCAGGTTTTAAGCAAGCAATAGTGAAGATTTTGTTTCCATTTATTTTAGTATTGTGGGTTCTTCCCATTAGAGGGATCAAGAAAACCCATCTTGTGCTTTCCTCTTCCTCCTCCTCCACTCGTCTCTCATCAAGGCTGCCAAACACGATTTCCATTGGTGTTTCTGCTGCAATGGCCAGGGCTGGTGAACACCCAGGGACCCTGAGCTAGCAAGAGCAAGACAAGATACCAAGGTGCATCTTCAGTGTGATGCACAGTTGATCAGAGCCATCTGCTGTCAGACATCTCTAAGTAAGCACAACGAGACTCATGGTGGTGCTGGGGCGCCCGCGTCTTACCTTTGTCTTACAATCAAAGCAGGTGAATCCCAGTGCAAAATCCACCGTGAAGCACAGCATTTCTCCTTGCCAGCTGCACATATATGTTTTTGACTAGAAAAAAAGTATTAATTTGAGAAAACATTCTGCAATAGTCCTAGTTAATTTTAAGTAGGTTGCTGCAACATTCGTTCCCTTTAGTCATTTTTTTCTTTAAGTTCTAACATACAAAGTATGTAGAACAAACCAGAGAATTTGGGGTCACAGGGAACTGCAGAGATGTCTGTAGATAGGGAATTGTTAATTGTTTTTTGTCCTTACACTGGCTAAGGATATCTTCAGAGGCATAACCTAAACAATACCAAATCATTAAAACAATTCGACAGAGATCTGTTCTCTAAGGTTCTTCTGAAAACACTCACTGGAGTTATGCGTGCTTTAAATGTTTCACAGTAGCCCAGAGGAGGGGCACATAAAAGGAAACATTGCCCTATAAACTTGATAAACTTGTTTTTGTCAACTTCAGTAATCAGTCTGCAGGTAAAGTTTCCCCAGCCAAGAGAGGATCTGAAGCCATCATGTGAGTGGGGGCATTTCTTGTGGAAGGGATATAGGCTGGCATCTCTCAGATCACTGTACATGAATCTCACTTTAGGGATAAGGATGGGACTTGATATTCCCTCTGACGCGTGAGTGTGCACATGCACACACACACACACACACACACAACACTGAAATGTCAGGAGACTTGTATCATATACTTGCGCTGCTCTTCATAATTACACACACAGTGCCCTGGACATACTTCTGTGCCTGACTCTGTCACTCATCTCTTGTTCTGCTGTGTTCTAATAACCAAACAAATACCCCAAGTATCATTTAAATCTACCAATAATTGACCCAGTCTGTTCCTCACCTCTCAGAGGGCTGAGAGCAAGCACACAGGTGGGGACCCTGTCCAACAGGGTCTGAAGACCCCTACTCTTACCCAACTTCCACCCAGCTTCCTGGTGCTGCCAAAGGTGCCCACGGCCGCCTGCCAGCATCGTGCACACAGTGGGTGCCCACTGAATACTATATGAACCACTAGTGCTTGTGATGAGGGTGGGAAACAGAAGCTGCAGTCCTGTCTTCCTATGTTGTTAACCCTTACTCACTTCTCTAAACTTGACCCAGAGTGTGAGAAGTGCTGAGATCCCAGTTGATAGCCCACAAGAGTTTATGTTCTCATAGTTTAAGACTCACTAGATGCCCAGAATTTAAATGGAGTGATTATAAACTATGAGACAAAATAGTTCCAGAGGAACTGTTGCATTCTTTAGCCTATCACTGACATCATGAGACCTGAAGAACTGCAAATCCCAGTGGGTACAGTCTGGCCTGTGGAGGAAAGTGCGCACTGATGCAGAGCCTCTCAAGGGTTCACAGGTCAGACGAGGGAAGAGAAAGTTTAAATGGAGGCTCATTCCTGTAGAATCTCACTGCAGAGTCAGCCAGTGACTGCCAGACACACAGTCTTTCCCCATATAAATCTTTAGAACTTGGGCTCTGTGTATATATGCATAATCTTAGTTTCTTCATTCTATCCTACTTGGCATTGTCACAAAACTGTCATATCATGGACTTTTGTAACAGTTCTTTCAAAGTTGTGAATAGAAGGATGTAGGTCTTTCCACCCTCTTTTTGTGTTTATGCCTTCCTCCCTGTAATGGGTCAGAGGAAACTCATGCTGACACCTATTTCCCAGTTCTCTGGAAGGAGTCTGCCTTGTGGTTCCTTCTGTGTGACAAGGGTATTATGGGAGTGGTCATATTTCTTTAAAGACACCCTTATGGATGGCTTACATTAAAAAATGAAATTAGCAAGTTCAGCATTTTCATATAACTGAAGGGCAGAATTTTCATAACATATTTATAACTGTACACAATATTGAGGCTATAAGAACGACTTATTGAGTAATTTTTGTTATATACTTTTTAATTTTATTTTATGTGTATTTATGTGCCTGCATGTATATAAGTGTACCATGTGTGTGCACTGCCCCATGGGGGCCAGAAGATCCACTAGAACTGGAGTTACAGGCAGCTGGTAAATGAACCTGGATTCTCTGCAGCAAATGCTCTTAACCACTCAACCGGCTCTCCAGCCCCTTGAGTAATGTTAGATCTACTGGTAAAAGCATGGATAAAGGTTATGGAAAGGAACATTTGCTGGTTGAACAAAAAAAATGGAATGTGTTGCTTAAGGGACTCTGTCTACATATATCTGACCATGGCCTTGGACATCCAACAAAGCTTGCTGAATAAATTACTAAGCTCAGAAGAGAAGTACTAAGTGCCTCCCACCAACTGCCCAGAATTTAGAATAAGTTGCCAGAGAATTTTAGAGCATTTTCTACGAAAATGTCAAAGAGGTCTTAATAATAGCTCTAAATCCATGGCTGTGAAGGTCAGTTTTGGAACAAAGGCAAATGCAGGAGAGAGAAAAACCAATGTTTAAGAAAAATATCAAAAAATTCAAGCACAGAACCACCTGGGGAGTTAAAAAAAAAAGCCCACAAAACCTAAGACAAAACCAAACCAGAATACCAATGATCAAAAGAGCCATCTCATCGCTACACTGTACAGAAAGAGCTCGGTGGTGCTGCCCTGCTGCCAACCATGGTACACAATCAACCCCAGTGGAATTGCTAATGTCCAAAGAGGAAATGGTGTTAGAAGAATAAACAGTCACCTGGCTTAGTGGTGCGGGCCTGTAATCCCAGCATCCAGGAGGCTGAGACAGGGAGACTCTGCTTCACTATAACAATAATAATGCTAACATTAATGATGATGATGACGACAAAGATGACGACGATGATGATAAAAACAGCGACCAAGCAATGTGCAGAGGTACTGGATTCAAGTGGGAAGTAAGCAATAGCACACATTTGAACAGGTCTGATCATCCCGATCCTGTGGAGTTTGCACTCAGAAGAATGGGACCTGGAATATTCTGACTGGTGCTGTCCTTGTCCATTGTTAGTTTAGGGTAATACTAGCTTCAAGAAATGAATTGTAATTCTCACTCTTTCTTTCTCTGGGAACGGGGTTCAATTATCTTCTAAATATCTGGTGGCATTCTCCAGTGGAAACATTTGGGCCAAATGTCTCTTTCTTGGAGAGACTACAAATGACACATTCAATTTTCTCAACAGTGAGTGACAGGGCCACAGAGATGATCTGCATCACCCTGATGGAGTTCCCCTAGGTTTTCATTGTCCACTCTATAGAAGGAGAGCTCTGCAGGGCCCTTCCACAGTGAGCAGTCTGTAGTAGTCTTTTTCTTTGCTGATTCTGGACACTTGCGTCATTTCCTTTTCTCTCTTCCTTATTTGTCAGTCTTTCTACAGATTTGTCACAGTTAATGGTGTTTACAGAGACCCGCTCTTGTGATTTGCCTTGAGACTTCTCTGACGTATTACTGAGAAATGTGTTGTTTCCATGCATTTGAATATGTTCTGTTATCTAGTTAATGACTGCTGTTTCCATCATGGTTGAAGAACATTCCTTGATAGTTTCAGTTTTTATCAGGTCCAGGGTATTGAGTATCTTGGCATATTATCCACGATCCTGCAAAATAGCCTCCATCAAGCTGTTGGTAGGTTGGATGCTCCATAAATATTTCCTGTGCTTGCTGTTGGTGGTGATACGGGGATCTTGACTATGGTTGTAGAATAGTCTGTTTCCCTTGGTTTCTTGAGCTTTTACCTCATATATTTTGCAGCTCTGTGTCCGGTGAATGCATACTTAGGTTGACCATGTTTCTTTGGCTAGGGAGCTGACCCTCTCATCCTCCCACAATTACTCTTGCTGCACCTTTCTCTACTCTGAGATCTACTTGATCTGATGGCGGCTACTGTTGTTTCCTTTGGCATAAGCCACATGATGTAGCTTTTTCTGTCCTTGTACTCCAAGCTGTGCAGTCATATTTGAGGCAGGCTTTCTGTTGACACCCTAAGCTTGAACAGTGCCCACCTGTCCATCTGCTCACCTCACCTATCAGTGCTCTCATTTGATGGGACCTGTGATGTCTTAGGTCTTGCTTGCCATTTATTAACCTCCTATTTGATTCTTTGCTGCTCAATACTACATTCATCATTTGGAGAAATTTTAGTATTCTGTTTTTATATGTCTGAAGGGTTTTGAGTGTTATTGTGGCCATGCCAACCCCTGAGACTTATGGAAGCCTCCCCTGCCTCTGCATAGTCTCCCCTCCCCACCTGCTGTTCAGTTATTTTAAGCACTTCCTTATATACATTTGGAATCATGGAGACAGTGGCATGATTTTCTTCAATCACAGAAATGACTGTCTATTCATTCCACTTTCTTTCTGGCATTTCCAGTTCTTTTCTTTGTTATTTGCTTTCTGTTTAGAGAAATTCCTTCACATATTCCTTTTGGGTTTGTGTGCCAAGGACAATTTATCCTATCTCTCCTTAATTAGGAAATGGTCATGAATGATATTTTTTCATTCTTGAAAGCTATTTTCAATGGCTATAGGATTCCTTTTGGCACTTAAATATTGGAACCCTTCCTCCTGTCGTCTCTGATGAGGAATTATTTTTCCACTGTAATCAATTATTTTGCTCTGGCTGTATTCAAGATCTTTTTCTTTTTCTTTGGTTTACAGAAGCTTATTAGGGCTGTTCTTGGTGCATCCCTTCTTGGTGTATTCTGTTTGGAGTCTGCTCACTTCTCAAATGTATAGACTTTTACCTTTGTACATTTGGAAAATGTGAGTCATGATTTATTTGAGCATTGTATTAGTTACTTTTTGTCGCTGTGAGAAAATGGCCAGGGCAACTTATAGAAGGAAGAGCCTGTGTTTACAGTTTTAAAGAAAGAGTCCATAATGGCAGTGGATGCATGGCAGCAGGTGCTCAGAGCAAGAAGCAGAGAAATCACATCTTCAACTACAAACAGGAAGCAGAGAGAGCAAACTAGAAGCTGGGCAAGGCTATATGAGCTCTCAAAGCCTGCCCTCAGTGATGTACTTCCTCCACCAAGGCTCCTGTCCCAAAAGCTCCATAATCTCCCTAAATAGCACCATCAACTGGGGACCAACTTTTAAGT